AATAGTTTTGCATATAAAGAATTAGCATTGCATCATATGAGCTTAAAACTTAGACTTAGAACTTAGAATAACTTTATTGTCACTTTGATTGTACACTAATCGACATGAATTAAAATGAAATCTCATTGCATACAGCTCTCAAAGGGTCACCACCTCCAATATAAACTACATAAACATGACGAAAGAAAGAAAGAAAGAAAGAAAGAAAGAAAGAAAGAAAGAAAGAAAGAAAGAAAGAAAGAAAGAAAGAAAGAAAGAAAAGAAAGAAAGAAAGAAAGAAAGAAAGAAATGCAAAATTATGCATAAACCCACATATATTATATGACACAGAGAAACAACACAGTCTAGTTTGTAAGTATACATGTACATGTCGAGAAAAACAAATCTTGCCAGTTTATCAGGCATTTGGCATGGGGATAAAGCTGTTACAGAATCTGGTACGGTAGTCCTGCTAGAAATACTTCAAAACCTCCTTCCAGAGGGGAGCAACAGAAACAGACCATGAAGTAGGTGTGTGGGGTCTCTGACAATGTTTTGAGCTCTAAGCACATAGCGCTTATAAGAAGTATCCTGAATAACAGGAAGTGAGCTTCCTATAATCTTCTCGGCTGCCCTTACCACTCTCTGTATGGACTTTCTATCGGAAGCACTGCTGCCACCAAACCAAACAGTGATGCAGTTTGTTAAAACACTCTCAATCGTGCCTCTGTAAAAAGATGCAAAGTTTTTTTTAAAAGTTTATTTATTTTCAATCACAATCCTCCCCAAAACAGCTAATGACCTCTTAAGGAAACCTAATTGAGAAAGTTATGATATAAAGATTTAGTTATATCCTAAATCATGATACACTGTTGTGGCTAAAAGTTCCTGATACTTTTTAATATGAAAATGATTGATTACAGATAGTCCTCAACTTATAACCATTTGCTTAGTGACTGTCCCAAGTTACAACGCCATTGGAAAAGGTGACTTATAACCTGTTCTTACACTTTCAAACATTACACCAAGGTCACTTGTTCAAAATTCAGGCTCTTGGCAACTGGTATGTATTATTTATGATGGTTGTACTGGCGCCATCTTATCACCATTTCCAATCTTCCCAATCAGCTTCTGACAAGAAAAGTTAATGGCAGACGCCCGATTCACTTAATAACCACATGACAACTGCAGCAAAAAGGTTGTAAAATGGGTCACAAATCACTTAACAATTGCCTTGTTTAGCAACAGAAATTTGGGGCTCAGTTTTAGTCTTAAATTGAGGACTCCCTCTACATATAGTCCTCGCTTAATGACTGGTCACTTAGTGACTGTTTAAAGATACGACAGACCCCTAAAAAGTTTCAGTTATTTTATGCAGAAATACACACGCACACACACATACACATGTCATTATCACACAATTGTGATACTTGGCAACTGGCTCACATTTATAACCCTGGTTTTGGGCTTTTTTTTGCTGATTTCCAGCATTTACTTCTAGTGTCTGTTAAAGAAACATCCATTGGGGGAAATGGATGTATGTAACAATCACCATGTTTACTTAACAACTGCCCCAAAAAAGATTGTAAAAATTGGGTTGTGGTCACAGAGTGAGCCACTTAATAACTGCCATGACTGATGATTGTAATTCTTGGCTGAATTGGCACTATCTCTATGAGGCAGAGGTCGCGGTACAAATGGATCTGCTAGTTAATATTTTTAGATCAAGTAACTGATATTTGAGTGCAATGATTTGTTTCAGGAAGTGACTTGAACAAGGAAGTCATCGAATATAAAGGTCACTTTTGTCCCAGATTATTTGAGTAAATATTTCAGGCATACCTTCTTTAGGAAACAGAGGGCAACACCCAGTACGCATGAAACAATTTGTTGCAGTTTAGACAAGTTTAATGATTATGTGAAATATTCAAGCCTGGAATGTCCTTAAACTGATTGCAACCCTCCACGAACAAAGGAAGGAAACGTCAAGCAACTACATTAAAAATTAGCCAGTATGCAAACTAGGATGATTTTTTTTGCAGCCTTTGGATGTAGGAAGAAAGACACCAATTCATTCATTCGTTCGTTCATTCATGCATGCATGCATGCAGGAGTGGTGCAGATGAACTGGGTGAGATAATTCCTTTTTTACTTAGAACTTAACCCTAAAATGAAGGAAAAAAAAAAAACCAGGAAAAGAGACTCTTAGATCTATCTGTTAAAGTGGCGAATAACTACTTAGAGAAAAATCCCAGACCCAGAAGAAAGGAACTAAGGAGAGAAGAGTAAAAAACTTTTACGAGGCCGTACGGATCTGGATGGGGAGAATAGACTCAACCCATCCAAGACCGAGTGGCTGTGGTTTCTGACGTCCCGATATAGTCAGCTGGTGCCATCGCTGACTATTGGGGGCAAAGCATTGACCCCCACGGAGAGGGCTCGCAACTTGGGTGTCCTCCTGGATTCACGGCTGTCTTTAGAAGAGCACTTGACGGCCGTGACTGGGAGGATTTTTCATCAGGTTCGCCTGATCCGCCAGTTGCGTCCCTTTCTGGATCGGGACTCGTTACGCACGGTCACTCATGCCCTCGTCACCTCCCGTCTGGACTATTGTAACGCTCTCTACATGGGGCTCCCCTTGAGGAGCACTCGGAGGCTCCAACTGGCACAGAGTGCGGCCGCGCGGGTGGTGATGGGAGCGACGTGGCGCTCCCATGTAACGCCTCTCCTGCGCGAGCTGCACTGGCTCCCGGTGGTCTTCCGAGTGTGCTTCAAGGTTTTGGTCATCACCTTTAGAGTGCTCCATGGCTTAGGACCTGGTTATCTACGGGACCGCCTGCTACCACCAATAGCCTCCCACCAACCAGTACGCTCCCATAGAGAGGGGCTCCTCTGGGTGCCGTTGGCCAAACAATGTCGACTGGCGGCCCCCAGGGGGAGAGCCTTCTCTGTGGGGGCACCTACTATCTGGAACGAGCTCCCCCCCGAGATACGGAGGATTCCGGATCTGCGTACCTTCCGTCGCACGCTTAAGACGTTCCTATTCCAGCAAGCCGGCCTGACCTAAACTTCTCCTCTTTTAAATGGGAATTTTAAATTTGGTTTTAAATTATTGGGGTTTTAAATATGGTTCAGCCAAATTTATTTAACTTGTTTTATCTCTATTTTAAATTTTGTATTTATATGTTTTATTTCATGGCTGTTCACCGCCCTGAGTCCTTCGGGAGTAGGGCGGTATACAAATTTAATAAAATAAATAAATTTTAAAACACAGAAAATTGGTCTTTTAAACTGTGTAGGCCCTGGCTTGGGAAAGGCATTTTAAAATGCTCGAACTATCTACTTAAATAATTGACTTGGCCTCTATAAATTGAATTAAAATTTGATTAAATACCTGTCAATACCTGAAACGTAAGTGGAGGGCGCCACCTACTGATGAATGGAAAATATACCATACCCCAACAAGTCTGGGAAATTTGATAAGAAAAATAAACAACATTTATCTGGCGGACTACAGTGATACCTACTGTTCTATATTTATCCACTTTATGACTACTGAAGGTTTAACTGTGAGAACAAGGATCCTGAACTACCTAAAAGGAACTGATTGATAAATCCTGAGGTATAAAGAACTATGATTATTGTACTCTCTGAGGAGCAATGTTAGGCCTGAATATATGGTTTTTGGACTATTGAGTAAGAGTGGGACTTACTAAAATAAGACGAGATGCTCCATCAGGGGGAAATGAGTGGAATTTTAAAAGAAATGGCATTGATGTTCCAGAATATTAATGACACTATGACAAAAAATCACAGGGAGATAAGGAACCTAATACATGGCATAGATCAAAATGTCCAGAAAAACGAGAAGACAACAGAAAGAATGGAGGAAAAGATAGAACAGACAAATCAGCAAATAAAGCAAGAAGACAAGAAGAAGACAATAAAGATAATAATGACTGATGAAACAAATCAAAGAAAAGTATTTTAAGAGATTTAAAAATGAAATTAGATAAGCAAGAAGATACTTTCAAAAGGGAGATAGGGGCTTGGGCAGACACCTTGGAGGCCTGGCAGCATAAGATGGTACAGATGGGAGAAATATTTAGACTGAATAGTAAAGATGTAGATGTAGGTAGAGATAAAGATCCAAGGGAGGAGTATGGGAGGCAAGCCAAAAAATGAATAAGAATTGAAGTATTAAAACAGGCAAGAGATGATGGATAGAAAGGAAATGCCTTTTAATATAACAATGGCCTGACTAAAAGTCAGAACAGAGGTAGAAATATGAATACACACTTTTATATAATAGAATAAAAGCAATAACTAGACAGACAGGTTATAGGTTGAAAAATTGTATAATTGTACACAATTGTAAAATTGTATTATTTTTAAATATGGTGATTGGCATTAAAACATTCAACAACTAAATAATGAAGGATTATATCACAATAAAACACATGTATCAACACTAGGACTAGCAACTAGCACTAGGACTAGTAATGGTGGCCTGACTAAAAGTTGGACTAGAGTTAGAAATAAGAAATAGGGGGAATATTAGTATACACATTTTTATATAATAAAATAAAAGCAATAACCAGATGGAAAGATTAGAGGTTGGAATATGATATTACTATATATGCTCAACTAATATTGTGATTGACATTAGAATGGCACACTGAAACACTGAACAATTAAATAATGAAGGATTATATCTTAATACAAACGTGTATCAACACCAAGATTACAAAAGCTTGACTAATATAACAAATATTATTAATATCATTATTGTTATTTGTATCAAAATAAACGATACCCAGATGCCACACTGTTCATGTATTGATGTTGATGTATATCTAAAAATAAAATAAAAAATATATTTAAAAATATTCTCCTTTATTGATAGAGAGAGGAAGCAAACAAATCATTAGACAATTGCCTCTTTTTAGTCATACCAATATTCTCATTCATTGGACTTTCTCATCAGCACTTGAAATATTTCCTTGTTCTGACTAATATATTGTAATTTGTTTGACGTTTCCTAAGAGAGCTGCACAATACCTGGGTTGAGGAAATTGTTTGCCGTGGCATATGTTCAGTGAGGTTGGGCTTGCCAGAGGATTTAATTTATAGCGTAGACATAAAAAGTGTTCCGCCTTTTACTTGTTACATTCTGGTTCTCCGAGTGTCGTGCCCCATTCAGCAATAATCTCCAGGAAGTAAAAGATGCTTGTGAAACACCCATCCTGGTAGAACAACTGAACTAAAAGTTACTGAGCAGAAGAAGAAGAACAGAAGAGCAGGTAGAATGCTGGATAAATATTGGTAGATGCTGGTGCATTAGTCCTGGTGAGTTTCAGCTTTATTCAGAAGACAGTGGCACACCTATACAGGTGCATCAATGGATAACTGCTATGGTGAATGGTATTTTATTTGCAGAATAAAAGCTTTCCCATATCTGAATGGTGGACTGAAGGAGGTTTGAGAAATGCTACAGTGATCAGCTTTTCAGCCAATCGGTGTTACTCTGCCTACAGCTTGAACTGCCGCAGGTGAGGAGATAGATAGATAGATAGATAGATAGATAGATAGATAGATAGATAGATAGATAGATAGATAGATAGATAGATAGATAGATGATAGATAGATAGATGATAGATAATCTGCTATGAATGTATTCACCTGTCATTTTCTATCAAGTTGCTGTTACCATCAAATTTTTACACATAGTTATAAAATTAATCATTTATATCTCTTTTCCAACCAACAATAGAAATAATTCCATATTCTAAAGTATTCTGATTCTTCCCTATCTTTAATCAACAAAGTTAATCAGTTCATTTCTGCACAATCTAAAATCTTTTTTATTACTTCATCTTCCAAAGGTATTTTCTCTGATTTCCAATTTTGAGCATAAATAATTCTTGCAGCTGTTATTACGTGTATAGTCAAATAAATATAATCCTTTTTAATTTTGTCAGGTAGGGTACCCAATAGCAACAACTCTGGTTTGAATTCAATACGTAGTTGTGTCATTTCTTCCAGCCAGGTTTTAATTTTAATTTGATGGCAAGAATATGGTTATAGGAATGAACTTTTATAGTGGTTTGGATGACGATTAAGATAGAAACTGTCGGAACAAGAAGAATAAAAAGAACTGAAGAAATTAACACCGAGATGTCACAGGGGACGGATGATTGATGTATTAAATGTTTGTTTGTCTTAAAAATGAAAAACTTTTTTTAAAAAAGTTGCTGTTAGAATGCAGATTCAGGTGCTGCTGAATAGATTTGGCACTATAGAGCAAGTAGAAGTGTCCTGATTAAGAATCTTCAATTGTTGCAAATCGCTTATGTCTGCCAGTCAAGAATATAAAGATAGTTCTAAAAAAAAAAAATGCAGAAAAGAAAAAGAATCCAAAACGAAGAGGGTGCACCGTTTTAATAGCGCAGAATACTAATGAAAAGGCTAAAAAAGTGCCTGTTTGCATTGCTCCAATACCTCTTGTGATAAGAACTAAGCAAATTTGTTTTTAAATGAAGTGTGTGCTTGACAGCATTCATTAATGCTTTGCACCCGTCTGTCCCACCACGAAAAAAAAAACCAGAGCCACATCTATAGTGTTGGAAGAAATATCCATCTGGTTCAGTTTCAAGCCGGGAGAAAGACACTGGAAACATGGAAGCTGATTGGAAAGATGGTATAATGGTGAAGCAGAACCGCATGGGTTCTGGTGCAGCTGACCACATGGAGTTGAGAGTGGGGGGTATTTATACCTTCTCTTGGCCTTTGCACTTGAACTTCCTGTTCCTGTGCAAGAACATGTATTCTATTGGCTGTTGTCAGACTCCCATGGGGCCATGTACAAATCCTAGGACAGTGTTGGCGAACCTTTTCAGCATTGAGTGCCAAAACGGGAGAGTGTGTGCACTCCAGGAAGATGATCTTCCGATTTCAGGTGCATGCGTGCATGCGCACCGCCACCTGGTCTTCCAGTTTCTGGCACGCATGTGATGTGAAGACTAGTTGGCTAGTACACACGCATGCACCATAAACGAGAAGATCATGTTCCCCGGGTGGCTGCACTTCCGGTTTCTGGCGCTCCCATGAGCGTGAAGACTAGCTGGCAGGTGCGCCAGAACCCAAAAAAGCAACAGGCAATGGCTCACATGCCTGGAGAGATGGCTCTGTGTGCCACGTCTGGCACATGTGCCATAGATCATGGTCCTAGGAGTTTGTCTGAGCTAAGTTTGGTTGAAGTTTGAACTGCTAGGGGTGGTACAACTGAGATGATGCAATGAAAGGGCTTTGGGCAATTCCTATTGTGGCTGAGGACTAATCCTACCTTTGTTGGATCTTGTGTGAGGGTATTTGCTTATGAATAGAGCTAGCTATCTCTTTATCTCTTAAGTGCTGATATCTGCTGAGGGCTATTAAGAAAGGTTTAGCATGTTTCTCCATTTCTCATTCCAGGGAAATCTGCCTTTTTAATATTTCTCAAAACATTTCATTCTTCTAGGCGAGGGTGGGTACTAACTTTCTACAATGCTTTACAAAAAAGGAGGTCATTTTTTAAAAGTATAATAATCGCTCTCTTCCTCCCTTCTCCCCTTTCTATTTTCCTAACTCAGTCACTGATTTAAGGTTCCTGTGAAGTCGATGCACATCATTCACTGTCTTTGTTTCTTCATAACTGTACTCTTTGGTTGAATTTAGACAGAACAGGATTTGCTCCCTGGGGCTTTCATTCCATATTCATCCCTCAGGCTGGTATCACAGGATTCTTGGCATAATGTCAAGTATCCAGGCTATAAATCATTTCCGAACATGTGGCATATAAATCTAACCCTTCACTTGCCACATGCCTTAGAGAGAAATGGAGATCAGAAAGAGAAGAAAAAGGAGATGTCAGGCACAGAACAGGGGAATACGGGGGTAACTTCATCCAAATTTGACTCCAGGTTGTTGTATACTATGTTTCCTTCCTGCTCATCCTGTAACCCGGGTGGATTAATCCTGAGAAAACAAAGTTCTCAATAGAGAAAAGTCTGTCACAGACATGTCTGTTTAGAATAGTAATACAAGTTGTCCTTGACCACAATTCAGCCCATAATTTCTGTTGCTAAGTGAGACATGTGTTAAGTGAATTTTGCCCCCCATTTTAGGACCTTTCTTGCCACAGCTGTTAAGCGAATTGGGTTTCCCCATTGACTCTGCTTGTCAGAAGGTCGCAAAAGGGGATTATATCACCCAGGGACATTGCAACCATCATAAATATGAACCAGTTGCCAAGCATCCAATTTTTTAATCACGTGACCAAGGGGATGCTGCAACGGTCATAAGTGTGAAAAATTGTCATAAATTGCTTTTTTCTTTTTTTATATATAAAATATTTTTTATTAAACAGTTTGTCTTTAAAAACAACACAAAAAACAATCACACATATGTAAAAACAAAACATGTCAAAACGTAAAGTATTGAACATTAATGGTAATTTTATAGCATTTCGTATCAACTTACGTACTTTGCTTTTGTAGTTCTCTATTCTATCATTTCTATTTACTACTCAGTAGTAGAATAATCGCATTACTCCAACATATATATATATATAGACATTATAATATTCATTTGTTCTTATCTACACATTTATATTCATTTATATTTACCTCTCTTTACTTAATGTTGTTCAATTACTTTAAGTTTCATCAACATTAAGTTAAACATTTCTTGTTCTGATTTCTATTTTCGAGCCAACTATACATTTTATTCCATATTTCATAATAGTCCGAATCCTCTCTCTCTTTCAACTCCATAGTCATTTTATCCATCTCTGTGCATTCTAGAATTTTCCTTATTACAGTTTCGTCTGCCGGTATATTTTTTTGTTTCCAATTTTTTGCGAATGTGATTCTTGCTGCAGTAAGTATGTGCAATATAATGTATTGAAGGTTTTTATTCATTTTCAGGTCCAGTATTCCTAATAAAAACAATTCAGGTTTCATATCTATTTTTTGCTTTGTAATTTCTTCCAACCATTTTTGAATTTGACACCAATACTTCCTTGTGATGGGGCACGTCCACCATATGTGGTAGAATGTTCCGGATTTATAGTTACATATCCAACAATTAGGTGATAAGTTGGGATACATCTTGGCCAATCTCGCTGGTGGCAAATGCCACCTATAAAACATTTTATAGAGGTTTTCTTTGTAGGTAACTGCTGTTGTCAGTTTGTAGTTCCTTTCCCATAGTTTGTCCCACTGTTCTAATTCTATGCTGTGGCCGAAATTCCTTCCCCAACTAATCATCGTTTCTTTTACAACTTCCTCCTCCATTTTATGTCTTAGTAAAAGTTTATATAATTTTGTAATGATTTTTCCTTCTGTTCCCAATAAAATTTTATCCAACTCCAATTGTTTTTCATGTATGCCAAATTGTTCTTGATCTTTTTTTAGTCTTGTTTTAATTTGTAGGTAGGGCCATCATTCTATATTTATTCCTTATATTTTCAATGTTTGCAATGATTTTAATTCTCCTTTCTCGTCTAAAATTTCTGAGTATCTTACCATTTTACTGAGGTCTATTGTATTTGGGTGTGTCATTGCCTCCATTGTTGATAGCCAATTTGGGATTTTCATATAGTGGTGTTTTTTAATCTTTACCCAGACATTGTATAGAGAATTCCTTATTATATGCCTCTGAAAATATGAATGTGTTTTATTTTTACCTTCCCAATCAAACCCGTGCCAACCTAGTTGGAGATCGTGCCCTTCTAATGCTAATATTCTTTTGTTTTTAAGTTGAATCCAATCTCTTAACCATGTCAGCACTGCTGCCTGGTAGTAGAGCTCCCAGTCTGGGAGACCGAAACCCCCCGTGGTTCCTACTATTTTGTAACAACTTAAATTTAATGCGAGATTTTTTAACCTGCCTATATAAATTGAGATATTATTTTGTTTATTTTTTGAAAAAATTCTTTTCTAATCTTACCGGTATCATTTGAAAAAGGTATAACAGTTTGGGTAATATGTTCATTTTAATTGTTGAAATTCTGCCAGTTAGTGATATTTGTAATTTGTTCCAATTTTCCAAATCTTTTTGTATTTGTTTTATCAGTGTATTATAATTATCTTCTTTTATCGTCATAAGTTGCTTTTTTCAGCATCATAACTATGGTCACTAAATGAATTGTTGTAAGTCGAGGACTGCCAGGCATAGGCAACTTTGGAAGTCCAAAAAAAGTTATTCAGTATTGCCTTCATCTGGTTTACAATTTTGGCTTTATTCTGCTAGAAGCAGCCTAGCTTCACCCCTTTAAAAGGGTTTTCAACTAAAATTATCCAGCGACTTGAATGCAAAGGAATATGACAAAATGACAAGTTAGCTTTGTGCTGGCAGTGAATTCGGGAATTCCATTTTGATCTGCAAGCTGCAGTGAACAAATAATTATGTTGTCAGATTTGCCCAAATATTGGAATGGCATAGATTTCAAGGTTTAGGTGGCTCAGTGGCTAAGACGCTGAGCTTGTCAATCGAAAGGTCGGCAGTTCAG